TTGGCTCTTTCCTCGTCTAGCCTGGCCCTCTCTTCCTTCAGCTCCTCTTCAAGTCTCTTCTCCCTCTCGGCCCGGTCATTGATCTCCAACTTGGCAGAATCAAGAAGGAGGGTAAGTTCGGAGACCTGGTCCTTGGACTCCAGGAGTGACCGGCCAACTTCTTCGGATAGAACTCCAACCTGGAAAACAAGCTTGTCAGTAAAAGCAAAGGAAGTAATTAAACCGGGAGGAAAATCAGAGTTGGTACCTTGCTGAGTTTCTGGGCCAAGGATAAAAATGTCACTTCAATGGACTCCCCTTCTAGATCTGATAGCCTGACCTTCTTCCTCTTTTCCCCCCTGGAAGTCTTGTGGGAACTCTTCCTTTTCTGAGAAGAAGAATGACCGGTCCCCTTCCCTTTGCCCTTGACATCCTTCTTGGGATAAGGGACCCGGTCACTTTCGGAGAGATGGGTGGCTGGAGGAGAGTTCAGTTTTTGGCTCTGGATAGGGCTACACCGGGCACTTGTGGCCCCATCCATTTCAGGGAAGAAGGGAGGAGAGTGAGGCTTGGAGAGAGGAGACCGGTTGGAGTTGAGGACTTGGACATCATCGTCGTCATCCTCAATGATGGTGGTCATCCTGTTGAAGTTCATGTCTGAAAAAAGAACAAAAGCAACAAGTGACCGGTTAGATCTTATACCTTATCAAAAATCAAGTGAAACCAAAAGGTTGAGTAAAGTTAACCAACCTGGATGAGGAGAGCCGGCCTCAGCGTGACCATCCGGGGAATCAGCCCGGTCATCTCCTGCGTCATGGGTCGCAGACACGTCCCCATCCGGGTTAGGTAACCGGTATACCCATCCACCGTAGGCGTATGGCTTACCGGTCATAGGATCACCCTTGAGAAGTTTCTCGCAGGCTTCCTCTAGCTCTTTGGTGGGCTCCGGGTGAACCCTTTCGGGTTTTGTAACCCGGTCAGCCCACTCACGATTGGAGAGTGGAAACTGGTCAGGGGGGAACTCAACGAAAACAAATCTTTGCTTCCATTTCTTGTGGCTAGGGGGAAGACCGGTCAAAAAACCCCTAGAATTGGGACGGGAATGGAAGTAAACAAAGCCCGGGCAGTTAATAGTCCCGGGCAAGACATCATACATGTGAAGGATCTCCAGGTTTCTTCCCCACTAAAAATCTCTAAGTGTTTATAAATGTTTTGTATTCAAGAACCGGTGAGCATTTGGAGTAAGCTGGCCGGGCAAAATCTTGAACTTGTCACAGATTTCTACGAGGAGGGGGCGAAGGGGAAAGATAATGCCCCCCTCTAGCGAAGCAACATGAAAACCCAACCGGTTTCCTTGGTGGGGTTCTATGATGTTGGGCCAGGTGGTGTTAGAAAGGACTTTATAGCCCGGGGGAAGGACGGAGCGCACCTCGGCCAGGACCTTTTTTGTAACCCTAGTGGACTCTTTGAAGACCGGTCCTGAGTCAAGGGCTAGGTAGCCCATTGATCCCAATCGTTCTTCCCACTGGTCCCAGCTGAGGATCTTGGGATTGAACCGACCGGGCAGTTGGTTCAAAGGAACAGGCTCCTGGGCAACTATTTCCTGGGCCTGGGAGCTAGATTGGTGAGAGGGGCGGCGAGTTAAAGGGGTAACAGGAGGAGAAGAAGACTCAGAGTGAGAAGAAGAAGAGGGCTGAGAGCCTGACCCATAAGATTGACCGGATATGTTTTGGCTATCAGAAGACATGATGCTGCCGGTTAAAAAAGGGAAGATGAAAAATAAAAGACTAGGAGGACTGGAGCACTTACTTGGTGAGAAGCTAGAGAGAGAAAGCAGACCGGGCAAATCAAGAGAAACGAAGGAGAGAAGTGAAGAAATGAGATGGGTTGGAGGAGTATTTATAGGAGAGAGAGAGGCGGTTTGGAGTTCGAGGCGACAGGTGGGAGAGGGAGCGACTGACACGTGGAAGAGGTTATGATTAGGAGGGAAAATTTGAATTTTGAATGGTAAGGTGAAAGGTTTTGGGGGGAAATTCCAAAACTAAAAGGCCAGACTCAACGTTTGGACTCCCACAAATCCAAACGGACAGGTCATGCAGCGTAGTCTACAAATCCAAAAGTGCCAGGTTTGGTATGAAGACGGTGAATCCAAGAAATGGGCAGGTCTCCATGGAAAGGTCATGGGAATGGCTTGACAATTTCAAAGAAGAACAGGACAGGTCTTGAAAAAGAAAGGCTTGGCAATCCAGAGAAAGACAGATCTTGAAAGAGAAAGGTATGATAATTGCAAAAGTGACGGGTCTAAAAGGACAGGTCAACAAGAAGGACAGGTCAACGAGAATGACTTGATGATTTCAAAGAGGGAAAGGTCATGGGAATGACTTGATGATTTCAGAAAAGGATAGGTCATGAGAATGACTTGATAATTTAGAAGAAGGACAGGTCATGGGAATGACTTGATGATTTCAAAGAAAGACAGGTCATGGGAATGACTTGATGATTTCAAAGAAGGACAGGTCATGGGAATGACTTGGAGATTTCAAAGAAGGACAGGTCATGAGAATGACTTGATGATTTCAAAAGTGATAAATCAACATAAATATACTTCCCGCCCTTGATGACTTCCTCACAAGGCCGGTAAGTGGAGGACTTCTTGATGGGTATATCCCTATACCTGACCCGGACAACCGAAAGGGACAGGTCAAAATATGACCGGTCACTTTTATCAATCACCAAATGAGGTTAACTCTTCGATTGGGACGGGTCAAAAAGTTGATCGGTCACTTCCACTAAAAAAGTGACCGGTCACATTTTGGGCGATAGCCAAAATGTCGCCTAATGTTACAAAGGACATTCTAGAAGACCAGAGACGGGTTGAGCACAAAGAATGACCAGGTAACTTTTGAGAGAAGGTGACCGGTCATATCACTTTACTTGGCTAACATTGGTTCAGTCTATTAGGCATGGTGAACCACGTCAGAGGTCAAGGGGACACCCCGCCGCTCATCCATCACGAGGCACACAGTGAAAGGGATGTTTGTCATTTTGCAGGGTTGATTGGATTGAGAATATCCATTTTAGTCTTTGATTGAACAGTACATGTCTTGGCCTATAGTTGCTAAATTCTATGATTGTACAGTGTTCCCATTATCTACAGTGACCTTCCCACGAGCTTTCTATTTTGTCCATGGATGAATAGGGGAAGGTCACAAATTCTCCTCTATAAATATGATGATATTGGATAGAGGAGAGGATCCAATTTTTCTCTCACTAAAGTTCACTCTTGAGATAGAGTAAGAAATATAATTCGGACTGAGGAGATTTACCCGGTCTAGGTCATACTCTGTTCTTGTTGTGTGTTTTATATTACGGGTCGAGTGTGTCCAGGTCAAACCCGGTTAACCCACCCAGCTATATTTACACCATCAGGTATATAAGGTCTTGAATAGAACTAACTAATCGATTGGATTCAATCTTTTAATGTGGTTCAACCCAAGTGATTACCCAATCCAGTTGTTCATACCCCATCCTAAATTTTATCATTTTCAAATCATTTTATATGAAAAAAGGTGTAAACTTTAAAAATAAAAATTACATATTAAAAAATTATATCAAAAAATCTACAAAACTAGAGGTGACATGACTATATTATTTTATCAAATGGGTGACAAAAATAGGCCAACAAAGTGAATAAAGTTTGACCCTGTGAATAGTGAAAGGGAAGTTTATTTGTGGACGGAGGGAATATTTTTTATTGAAAAAACTACACAGAAATTTAATGCTAGAATTAACTATTGTTGTGTCTCCAAAATTTCTTGGATAAAAATGTCCAAGATGAATTATCAGCACCATGAGCGTGCAGGGTCTTTCACTATCACCCGCCTCATGCAATTGAAGAACTCCAAACACGCGCTCCACATCTTTCTGAGACGATTCTTCTTCTTTTTTTGCGCTAACACTGACGTCTTTGTATTTGTCGGATACGTAATAATTTTCACAAACACTGGCCACTCTGGATAAATCTCATCTACCAAATAATATCACGTGTTATATTCGTGATCACATCCAACAAATGTTTACACTCTCTCTATTTAGACCAAGACACAAATCCAGTACTGAACTGGCACTAGAACCCGCTATTCCAGAACCGAAACTAGAATCGAAACCTTTAGAGCGGGTAGAGAGAACCAAAACCTTCCGTAGTAGTACCGGTTAGGATCTGGTTTAATTTTTTTTCCAACTTTAATAACTATTTAAATTTAGATTAGTTGTAATATTTTACAAGTAAGAAGTACATTTAGATACATAATTATCATTTTTGCACCAAATTTTTAATTTAAAAAAAAAAGTTCCAGAATCGGTACCGCTGGCCACAACCCATCCATGTCAAGGTCTACCTCTATCCCAAAAAGAGATCACGTTACACAAAATAAAATAAAATTTTAATTTTTTCATATATTTTTATTTAAATATTGATGTAAAAATAAAAAATAAAACTTATATTTGAAAACTTTGTCAAAAGTTCTACAAAACAAGAGGTGACAATATTTTATTTTATCAAATAATCAATGAAAACACACACATAAATAAAACTATAAAAGTTTCCAAGATTTTTAAATAATAAAATGTGACATTTTTTTGGCGGAGTGAGTACAAAAGTGTGTTTTAATACTCCTTCAACCGGACCTACCCAATGTAGGATTGATATTTGCATTTTCTTTAATTTAATGGGAAAAAGACTAAAGTATAAATAAAATATTGAAAATATATCAAAATAGCACTATCATGTTTTTATTTTCGAAATAGAAGTTAAAATGTATATACATTACCAAATATGTTCATGTACATTACCAAAAAGTATAGATGTGCACATGTGTCGTGCCACATTACGAGCACATTATAACGGTGTGAACTCCTATTACGCGATTAACAACATAGAACTCCTATTTTGATACTTTTTCTATATTTTAGTCTTATTTATTAGTGTGATTTATATTAATTTAATTAGCTTGTAGTTTAGCATTAGTAATTACTATAAATAGCTTGCATTTCTTCAATGTAAAATCAATTTTGATATAGATTAGGGAATATTGTGTGATTTCTTTAGCCTTTGATGTTGTGAGACTGGTATTGTGAAAATTTCAACAATTTCTGAATTGCAAAACCGAACATTTTGTGTTGCTATAGTGTCTCTCCTAGACTTATACGAAGAACTTATAAACTTGTAAGTTAAAATTAACGCCTTTGGTGTTGCTACTACAAATTAAAGTCTCATAGAGGTGTATAAGTCAATACATGCTAGGGCCGGGCTTATATATTGATTCGCACAAGTTATAAACTTGTGAACATGCATGCACCTAACGTGGGAGAGAGCACAAGCCCTCAAAGGGCACATGACCTTGTTTCCAAAGGGCACTCTCTCAGGCTATGGAACCGTTGACCCTAGAGATTGTAGTTTAGGGTATGAAAAGGCTAAATAATGTCTTAATAATAATCATTATTTTTAAAGCAAGTTTTTTAGGCCGGCCGGGTATTATTTTTAAAATTATACTTTGGTATTTAAAAAAAAAACTTATTTGAATTGTGTCCATGTAGTTTGTCTTAGTCTTATTTAAGTAATTATAGTGTTTTAATCTTTCCAAACGACTCTACAATGATTATGGACATAAAGTGTTATAAAATGATAAGGATGAAGAAAAGTACTCCATGCCAAACTTTAGTCCATATCATCAATAATTAGATCACAACCTTACCGGATCTCACTAATTAATTACTCCGTAATACGGAGTAGTGAATAGTAATATTCATTTTTATTACTTTGATTTTTTTAATAACTAAAAAAATATATTCTTTTCGGTCCCAAAAACTTTTTCTGTTTTAATTTTTTTGGTTAAATAGTGACTCTTTGACTATAAACTGTGAAAAATGTATGTTTGGTTATAATATAATTTCAATATAATTGAGTTCATCTTTAAATGTAGTTTTGATATATCAAATTTGTGTATCATTTGTTTATTTAGAATATGTTTAATTTGTGGTCAAAGAGTGTCAATGTTTGACCAAAAAAGTCAAAACAAGAAATGTGTTTACGATCGCAAGGAGTACATATTTTTAACATGACAAACAAATCTCATCAAGATCATCATCATCATCATCTAGTGACATGAAGACTTCATCCAAGCATGAAAGCTCAATTCCATTATCATCTCCTTCATTCTCATACTTCTCTTCATACACTCGACAAACCACCCATTTGCTATGATCCTGAAAAAAAAACACACATAATCAAGGCAAAAATTGTGAAGAGGAGACTCATTTTAATCAAGAAAAATGAATTTCTATCCAATAGGGTTTCCCAATGTTTTAATGATGTTGTCAAACAGGCCCATTATCGAGCACATACTTTACAAAGACAAATTCTTTCGTGAACCTTGGTGACCGAACATTTAATATAAATACAAAAACACTTATAAATCAAATGAGTATAGATGCGTAAAACATGAAACAAGAACATCTTTCTGGTGTTTTATTAAACTTTTGAAAGTTTTTTTTTTGGCATTTGAGACGGGATATAAGTATTTTATGAGATGCGCAAAAAATAAAACAGTAAGGAACTGGAGTATTAATTTGGAATTACCACAATATTGGAAATGGAATGGGCACTTCTTCTTCTTCTTCCCCTAGATGATGATTTAGTGCTGGTGGAAGCAGAGAGATCAGAGAGCCTGTACTCCTCCATTACCCAATCCGTCTTCACCCCACTTTCCGGCGGCTCCCCGACGTAAAAAGAGTAGAATTTCTTCATCCCAATGATCTTTCCGGCACCGGAACTGGAGATTATCGGCTGGTCAACTCCTATCGGCCTCCAGAATCCGTTTTCCGTTATTCTGTTGGACGTTCTTCTGCTATAAAAATACCATTTCTTTCCCTCAACCATTGCTTTCCCTACCATAAATATCCATTATTCAATATAAAAATGATTTCCATAGAAATGGTTTAATACAAAAAAATGTGTTTTTGTTTAAAAATACAAATTCTATGCTTATAAAACAATGAAATTTGCACTGAATATGACTAAAAATAATTCATTTTCCAATGTAGGATTTAAAATTTTTTATTCCCTAAATAGGACTTAATAATGACTAGGGAGAAGAATAATGCCTAAATAATGCTGGACATTTATTTGAATAATGACTAATAGATAATGACCAATGATTTTACATTGGGAAATAAAAACATATGGTCCTATATTGACAAAGTCATTATATTTTAGTTCTATTTAGGTATCTTAGTACAAAAGTGAGGAATCTTAGTACCATTAAGGCGCCAAGGGTCATAGGGATAGAGCTCAAGATCGGGGATGACGTCGGGGTGGCACGGCAAGAGCGCCGCCTTGCGGTGGAGGAAATGCACCACCAACTCCTCGTCCGTGGGGCTGAACCGGAAACCCGGTGGCAGATTATTGCCGCCGTCGTTGCGGTCCCCCATCTATTAATACACACAAATTAAATATATCTGATGATGAGGGAGGAAATTAAACAAACATATGCATGCAGTGTAGTGTATACATTATTACATTGTGTGTGTGTGTGTGTGTATAAATAGAGTATATGTATGTATATGAAGAGAATCAAATAAAAGGCGTTGAGAAATGGAATAAGAGAGAGACGATGGAAGAGACATGTGGCCGGCAATTTATAAATTTTAATGAGTAACTGGATCATCAAATGGGGGAGGAATTGAAGCCAGGAGAGAGAATGGATGGAGATTGACGTGAGATCGAACTATGGATGATGATCATCCCCCCCCCCCCTATATCCATTCTACTCTCCCCTCCCTCGAGGATTTGAAAGTGGAAGTGTTATTGATAGATACACTTTTTAAGAGGCTAGAGTTCTTTGCTGAATTTTTGAAATGATAATTTGATCATTAATAGTCAAGGTAATTTTTTTGACAATAAAAACTTAATTCATCATATCATCAAAAATAGCTAGTGTTTACAAAAAAAAGGTGGAACGACAAGCCATTCTACCATATTAGACACAAACCGGCATACTTAGCGAGAAGGTGGGCAGCATGATTACCGAATATTGACATTATTTGTTTCACAAACATGCATGAATAATTATTGTCTTTACGGTCTCTATTACTACCTGTAAAATATATACATGGTGTCAAACTTTGTTTAATTTGACTGTAGCATGATTCATGTTCATAATTATACACGAATGTCTTAGATATAATATTTTTTGAAATTATATTTCCAATGGATCTAGTGATCCAACAAAGAATTAAGAATAAAGAACTAATATCATAATATATTATGTTTTCAATCAAACTTGTTTTCCCCTCTCTTTAAGGATGAAGGTATATTTATTCATGATATATATGTGGGGCCATATAAGAAATCCTCGATCTATGAATCTCAGAGAACCTGATCTCTTTCTTTTTGCTCACTCCAGTAGTTTTAGAGCTTTTTGGAGAACTCATGTTCAATTCCCACCAGTGACAATTCCCCTTGGACCGGGTTTCTTGTCTCTAGGAGCAAACATGGATTAAATAAGTGGACCCGAGTCATAAGACGGATGAAGAAAGACCCCGAACCTTGTGGTTCGCCTCAACAAACTTTCACTTTTCAAGATTTCAAACACCAACTCAAATTTTCTCCGTCTAAAACTCTATCTATAGCACGTTTCCTAAATTTGCCACCCACCCACCTCATTAGAGGCTCCGGTCTATTGTCAGAAATGCCTCCCCATTTGGAGGACCCTCAAAGTGAGCTTCTCCTTCTACGCTCTTGTATGGGAGTTGCTAAGCTGTTGTTTGGGTTACGCACTTGCCTACCTTCTTTTTCTGATGAGGCTAGGAGTGTGTTTGACAATGGACGTACTAAGGAGTGCTATTGAAGAAATTGTTGTTTGTGGGGGATGTTATTTTGGGGATCTCCAATGAAGGGTTGCCCCCTTCCTTTTCCCTATGGTGGGTTGGGGCTCCTTTCAACGAAAGATGTCTCCACCTATGCTTATGTAGCTTCCAGGGTTCAATCATGGGAGTTGCAGGATCATTTCCTACCTAACAGTGGGGTATCTAGCCTTGACTCTGATTATGGGCAGGCGTTGGGATGTTTGCATGCATCTCTCACAGATTTTGAGCTTGACCGTTTCACTAGTAAGGACAGTTCCCCCCTTAAGCCTCAGGAAACTTTGGCGAGTGCCCTCTATTGTAAAATCTCCCAGAATTTGGGAACGGACTTTGATTTGTCCCCACGGCAGAAGGCTGTCATGGAATGTCTTCAACAGCCGCACGCACAAGATTTCTTTACTGTCATCCCTATTGAGAGACTAGGGCAACACATGTCTCAAATCGAATATATTGTTATTCATAAATATCGTCTAATGATCCCGTTGTTCCCAGTGGATGAGTATTGTTCCTGTGTGTCATAAGGTCATCTTGGACAAGTTTGGGGAATTGAATATGCGGTACGGTGCACTACAAAGAGCTCCCCGGGTTTAAGTACCGACATGACTTGGTGCGGGATGTGTTGTTTGATGTCCTTCGGAGGGCTGGGATTTTTGCAAAAAAAAAGCTCCGGTAAATTTTCTTACACACCCCGGTGAGGGGAGGTCCTCCCTACGGCCCGCTGATGTTTTGGTTTATGGATGGGCTAGCGGGAAACATGCTTGTGTGGACCACACTGGTGTGTCCCCCTTGTGAATCTTCGGGATAATGGTTTAAAGGCTGAGATGGAGAAAGTGGAACATGATAAAGGCTGCTTCGAGAATCAACATGTGTCTCTTCCTTTTGAATTTGACACTTTTGGTTCCTTAGCCCCTGAAGCTCTGCGCTTCTTGGATCGGGTTCGTAAGGTTGTTCGCAACAATGTATTAGCTCCGAATGGTCTCAAATATGTTTTCAGTAGAATAGAGTTTGCTATCAAGAAAGGGGTGGCAACGCAGCTTGTTGCCTACTTACCTACCACCTTGATGTAAATTCATCCATTTTTGTTTAAAAATCTAAGAGATACTCGTATAATTTAAAATTGAAAACCTTTTAACACGAAATTTGATATGAAAGTAAAATAGAATGTTATATATTTATATTATTGGATTGTATGGAAAAATCATATTTTTGTAAATTAATTACATACTCCGTAGATATTAAGGTCATGTTCTCCACAACTTATTTTTACTAATTATTTATTCTTATTAGAATCAAATTATATCAGATCAGATCGAAAATAACTTTAAATATAACTACATTCAGACCAGATTAAAACTTATTTCAATCCGATCAAATTTAATCAGATCAGGTGAAAAAACAACATGGTCTAATTTTAAATTATCATACTCCGTATTAAAGACTCAATAAAGTCAAATAAGAACAAAAAAACACTGCTAGTTGGTGGGAGGTTGCAACTTGCAATCCCCTGGCTAATTACAATATTCGGAGTAGTGGGCTAGCGGCTAGTGGACTGAGTAGAAATAAATGGCATGACAGTGGGCTATCATTGATGGATAGATAATGGGCTTTCAATTAGGCCTAGAATAGTATTCTGTAGTACCTTAAAAAACAGTATTTCGTTCATTTTTTTGTTTATTTAATCGGGAAAAAAATGTTTAAGTAGGAGTAAAACATTGAAAATATATTAAAATAAGATTTTTATTATTTTATTCTCAATATACGAGTTAAGATTCATTTACATTACCAAATATGATCATGTATATTACCAAAAAGTATAGTAAAATACGCATTTACAGTGTCACATTACCACAATAGGAACTCCTGGCCTATTTAGAGAATAAGAACATGGAATTTCTATTTTGGTACTTCTATTTAGTAAGATTTCTTTTATTTCATCTCAAAATTAGCAAAAAATGTGATAATAAAAAATAAAATTGAAACTTATACTTTCAAATCCTCCTACAAAAAACTCAAATACAATTTCAGTTTAGAACAATGCTCCATAGTACTGAGTAGTTTGTTGCACTCTAATTTTTTGAAAAGAAAAAAAAAATAAAGTGCACTCTAACAATGAGTTAAGTAATACTTTCTCTGTCCATATTTATATAGAAAGGAATATAGAAACATTTAAAGAAAACAAGAAAAAAAATTTAAAGATGGTATAGTTGGAGTAATATGTACAAGTTTTTTGCCTTTTGTTTTGCAAACTTACGTTATAGACAATATTTAAATTTATCATAGCTTGTTCAAACTTGTGGTTGGGCAAGATCTATTTGTCTAAAGTTATTAATCAATGTGATTCATCTTGAAGAAAAAAGTTGTAAGGTACATTATTATGCAGTAGCATATGACAAATAAAATGCCCAAAGTATCACTTGATGAAAACTATCTTAATTCTTAGTGTAGAAAAAAAAAGCTTTCAAGAACATACAAATTTGTTAGAAATGAATGCAACTTCCAAACATGCACACTCTCATCACTTCCAAGAATGTACAAATTTGCTTTCTTTGGGAAAAACAAATTTAAAAATATGGACGCCAATTAAATGGTGATGACTAAAGAATGTTCCAAATCCCCAACGTGGAGCCGATGGTGTCCGAGGGGGACTTTCCTTTTTCCGACCTCATCGACCACACTCAAATGCTCGCAAACGTTCACATTGAACCGAACCATGACTTCCTCGCTCGGATGCAAATGCACCTTCTCGAACGCCACCAACTTTCTCTGAGGCGCATTGTGGACCGAGGGGGGCACGGTGTGCAATAAAACGGTGTGGCTTCCCTTCATGCCACCTGAATTCTTCACCTTGAGACGAACGTCAAACGCGGGCGAATTCTTGCAGATGCTGTCTCCAGCCTCAACGGACTTACAGTTCGTGGAGGCAAGACGACAGACGTGTTGTTCCTCTAGGAGGAGGGAGACCGACCGTGGAGTGCCACGGATCATGCTATGTTTGAACGTGGAGTACGACAACCCGTATCCAAATTCAAAGACGGTCGGTCCCTTGTAGTACCTGTATGTCCTGCCGGGGAAACCAGGAGCCGGTCTCATTCTCATTTCTGTCATAGCGACGCTATCCACATATGATTGCGGATACCATGTCATTGGTAGCCTCCCACCTTAACAAAAAAAGAAGAAGTTTTATGTCAATCAAAATAAATGACCTCTTTGGCAACCAGCTAGCTAGGTTGTTAAATGTAAAGGAAGAAATGGAAATGGATGCTCACTTGGGTTATGGAGTCCAAAAATAACATCTGCAAGGGCAGCTCCGCCGGCTTCGCCCGGGAACCCAACCCAAAGAATGCTTGTAACACTAGGATCATCCTTTGCAAATTGCACATCCATGCCACCTCCAGACATTATGACTAAGATCAGAGGACGACCCTTCGCAGCCTTTGCGACCTCGGACACTAGAACAGACTGTTGTCCCGGAAGAGTAATGCTGGTTCTGTCTAGAGATTCTTTTTCAACGGATTGATCCGAACCCATCACTAAAACAACTGCATCGGCCTCGGCTGCAGCTTTCTTGGCATCATCCACTCGGGCTGTCTCGCACGCCACATTGTCACAACCGGGCGAGTAAACCGTGTTGGCCACGACACCCATTAGCCCTTGCAAAGGGCTTGTGTACCTACAAGGGGTCCCTTCGTAGTTGCTAATCATGGTCTTGGTGGCATTAGCATTGGGGCCAATGACAGCCAACGACTTTGTAGCTTTAGGCGACAGAGGAAGCGAACCGGCGCTGTTCTTCAGCAACACGATGCCTTGTCGCGCGGCTTCGCGAGCAAGTTCTTGGTTTTCTTGGGTGCAAACATGAGCAGGACCAAGATGTCCATAATCCTTGTTGTTCTTGGGATTTCCATCAAAGAATCCAAGTCTCATTAGGGTGGCAAAATTGTTGGTCACTGCCCTGTTGATTTCTGATTCATTCACCAGCCCTTGGTTCACTGCCCCTTGTGTGTAACTCCCCAAAAATGACCCACAATTTAGGTCCACCCCTGTTTTGGGACAAAAATAAAATTACTCATCTCTCTTAAGAACTAAATATTTTTGTTGAGTAAAGATTCTTTGACACCAATATAAAACTCACCAGAATTCAATCCTAAAGCAGCAGTCTCTTCTTTTGTCTTTGTGTAGTGTTGAGAGTTGAAAATTACATCCAATGAGTCACAATCTGTCACAATGTATCTGAATGTACATCCAAATATTAGCACTATATATATTAAAGTGCACAA